TCGTCGTCAAAGTATTCGTTTTGGGGTTTGATTTTTCTCGCACTGTACGAGAAGCTCGACTAGTCGGCAGCTGGGGTTCGAGTCCCACCTGGGATCCGGCTCACCCGCCTTTTTTCTCCCTCTCTTTCTTTCCTACGCTATCATACGCTTTCCTACGCTTTCCTACGTTATCAGAAGCCTGTGTTCTAGTCGATGTGCGACGAGTGCGGTCTCTTAGTCGAGTTCGTAAAGGTATAGGGTCCGGGACTCCCGGGTCAGGGGTTCAAGCCTTGGCGCCGGCGCTTTTTTTTTTTTTTTTTCTTGGTCGCCCGGTTCGAATGCTACCAGCTTTCACCCAACTCACTTGGGTTCGAGTCCCGCTGGTAGCTGGGTCACGCGATTTCTTCCACACGCTCAAGAAAAATAAGAGCCGGCAGCAAGGCTCGAACCCCCGACCCGGGAGTCCCGGACCCCACACCGCGGGTTGCCGACTAGTCGAGCTTCTCGTACAGTGCGAGAAAAATCAAACCCCAAAACGAATACTTTGACGACGAATATTAGAACCCCCGACCCACAGTTCAAACATTGCAGCGATATCAAAGAGCGACGAGGCCGGTCTCGAAACGTCTGGTGAGAGGGTGTCGTGATGGAACCGGTTCTTCTCCCGCTCAAGCTACTGCGCTGACTCGTGCCTTGAGCCTAGCTCGCCCGGCCACTCACACTGTGGCGTCGTAGCCGCGTCGGTAGCGAGTCGGCCCCGTGCGCCATCAGTCAGGGGTTCGAATCTCCGATCCCAGCTACATTTTTCTGAACCGGTCGAACTCTTGGAGTTGAACTTAAACCCGTCATTTCAACGGGCCACCTTCGTGGATGAACGAACGGTCTGGTGGATAACGCTGTCCCACTGGACCGGGGGTGACGATGACTCGGCACTGGGGTCCCATTCGGGGCAAAGGTTCGACCCTCGGCGAAAGCGTGCCGAGTAAGGGCCATCCCAGCCACAGCGGGAGTGGTAACCCGTGTGGAATTGATAAGTCCTTAGAATCTGGCTCATTGAAGGGATTCCACGACTCGGAAGCATTCCGCTCGGATAGCATCTGGGTGCAGTACAGGCTAACCACCGTACGCCCGTCTCCTCTCTTTCTAACTCCCTCCGCCCTACCCCCCATTCCCGGTCAAGCGGGCAGGTGGGAACCTAGTCGATGGCTGTAAACTCCGGTGTGAGCGAGATAGTCAAGAAACCCGGCCCTCAGCTGGGTGCCTGAAAACACCGGATCCCATACCGAACTCCGAAGTTAAACAGGCGGGTCCCCGTGTCAAAGCGGGGTGGGTAGGGCCCACTTTTTTTTCAGTTTTGATAATTTTGGTAAAATGAATCCGGCTCTAAGAGGTATTTTAACTGCCGGTTGCACGTGGGTGATTAACGTCAAAAGCTGCACCGAGGGGGCTGATGACTCAGCTCTTTCGTAGTTATGCTGTACCGCATGCACGGGTGCGGGTGGGCTTGCCTATCCTCGCTGCCCACTCTGGCTCCTTATGGCCCCGTGCGAGTAGGAAGCCCACCCGCACCCAGCATAACTACGAAAGAGCGCGGCGTGAGTCGTCAGCCACCTGGTCCGTACCAATTGATTGTGCATCAGGGGATGTTCTTGTAGGTTAATTTCTGCACAGCTAAATGTATTTGTGTAGGGGTAAGCGACTGGAAAATGAAATGGCCATAAAGGGAAATGGTTCGAAAGGGAGCCCTTGAAAAGTGATATCCCCCTTGTCCTGACTCCATGAACAACCAGTTCCGACAGGGTAATGTGTGCGCGTGGCCCTTGACGGCAAGGACAGGGCTGGGCGGCGTGCCACAGCTCTAGTCGTCGAGGCGGATGGCGGGCAGCGGCGGCTGCGAGGTGCACGCCGATGCACGGAACACTAAAGCGCCCTGTCACCGTATTTTATTGTGTTTCTCTCTGGCTTTGCTTCAGCCGCCTCGCCCACTTACCAGCATTTTTGCGGTTGTTTTTACTGCTGCTGCTGAAAAATTTTCCTGGAAAATTCGAAGAGGAGCTTACGGTTTCCGGTGGCTGGTGGCTTTTCGCCCTTCCTCCTCTTATTATAGCGAAGTTTCCGGAATGACCGCGAGTGGTGGCGGTGGGCGCGAGCGGCGCTGGACTCAGGTGACGGCCGGACGATACCGCTGCTCAGAGATGGGCGCGATTAGAAGCGTTTTGCGGCCAGCGGGACCGTGAACGAGACAGAAAACGTTTTGTCCAGGTAAAGTACGGCATGCTAATATAGTATGTGCGCTTTCAGCCGCGTTGGAGAAGAGGTCGAAGTAAAGAATGAAAATAGGCCATCAATGTCGTCGGAGTCATGATGGCGTTTCTGCGACATGACTTTGCTGTGGCTTCCAGGGATTCTGTAAGCCGCCCAGCACGCCGGCTGTGCTTCAGCACACCACCAATCATTAATTTCCACAAGCACTCTGACCTTTCCCTGCAGAGTGCGTTCACCGAAGAGCCCTTTGTTGCTGGCTGCTGCCGCTCACAGCGGCGACCGCGGCGGCGGTCTTCTGCATATGAATCAGCAAAAGACAAAGGTTGGGACTTCCCTTAGCTGCTTCTTCTTACTTGAGTGACAAGGTAGGATAGTATATCGACTTGTCCATCTTTCCCGTTGGCAGCTAGCTCAGGTAAATAACAAGGTAAGCTTAGATCTAGGGCCGCGAGCTGAAAAACTATCATTCTTATGGATGGTTCTGATTTTTGTGCGCGATACAGATAGGGATCTGCAAATGGTAACACACCATGTTCATGAAATAAGTGTAATTTTAGCAAAAGACGGCTATTACAAAAATTATGACGTGTTTAGGTGTTACCGGGTGTGACCTCGGGTGTAACTTGACTTGACGTCACTAACCACTGAAGTGTTCGAGCTTTCATGCCTACTTCTTCCGGCCGTAAAGTACGGCGCTACGTCGCCTGCCTGCCCGTATATGGATCATCCAGAAAGTACGTCCGTCATTCGTCGTTACGGCCCTGCCAAAGTTCAGCCTATGCGAGCTCTCATAGCGCCTAGTGGGTAGGCAATATCTCGCCTGCAGTGCATACGTGCGCCGCGGGGTGGCCTACCCCGAGTTCCGCGGGCGCCAGGCTCCCGCAATTATTTGCCGAATTAATGAATCTGAGGAGAATGAACGTAAGCACTTTCTGGGTGATCCCATCCCACACCGACGTATTATCTGTTTTCATGGTTCTCTGGGTTGATGATCGAACTATTTTAGGCGCGTGTGTTAGATCATGCACGCCCTGCAAAACACATTACCCCACCCCGCAAAAAAAAAATTCCGTATTTTCTGCGCGTTCCCCACGTCCGTGTACTCGACGGGCCCCGCCCGCGCGAGGCCCTTGACACCCGGCGGGGTCCCGCGGCCCTGCGCCACTGACGGCAGCGCTCGCAGGGTGTGACCCGCGCGACCTCCTCCACGACCCACTTGCGTGCGGGACGCAGGCGGGACGCGGGCGGGACGCGCCACCCTCCACCTAATGGCCCATCATTACGCGCCAATTGTTTGAATTTTCTCGCGTTTCGCTCGCGAGAGACTTTACGCTGCAAGCCGCGCGGGGGCAGCCGCAGGGGATTGGGCGGGCGCTGTCGTGAAAAATGTTGCGAGCTAAGATTGTTCGGAGCGGCTTCCACTACTATGGTCGCAGAGCTTCCCAAAACAACAACTAATCTATGTCGTCGGCACGGCAACCCATCGCGCATAGTTCCCTCCTCCACCTTCCCCGCCGACGACAGTCCCTCCGATATGTGTCTGCACTTGTGCAGTCGACGTGCTCTGCCGTCGAGGTCCCCCTGGTCGTCATGGTGGCCCGCGCACACGCACGCCCTTGGGGCCGGGCCGGCGGGGCTCGGGCCGCTCAGGACCGCTCAGGACCGCTCAGGACGCAGGGCTAAGGGGCGGCAGAGGCCTTGATTTGTTCCTGTTTCTTTGTTCACTTCGTTCCCTCATTGTCGACGTGCGGTTGCTTGCGTTGCGTCTTTCACGTCCACGTCGTCAACCATTGTTGCCAATTTTCAGGTCCACTGAGCCCCTCACGCGCCGTCGCCGTAGTCGCTCGTCGTGCGTTCGCGGCCAGGCTGTGCTTCTCCTTGACCAGAGGCCCTTCCTCCGCCTCCTGGGTCACACGTCACGTCACGGCAGCAGCAATAGCGACGCGTCAAAGTCCGTCGCCGTCTTCCTGCCTCCGGGCGAAGCAACGGGTCGGCTGCCTCATCAGAGGCATTGTCATTCCGGACATGGACACGACCCTCGACCCGGCTCCCCGGGCGCAGCAGCAGGTGCCCAAGTGTCACGGCCGATCAGCTGATCAAGCTGCACACACGGCACCTGCCTAAGGACGCGAGTAACTCCACGTCGCGGGCCCGCAACCTACGTCGTTTCGACTCTATCGCAGCGGGCGGTCCAGACCGAACCGCGAGGGCGGAAGAAGAGACTCTGCGCTGCCGATGCGATGGTGGGACTCGACGCGCGGGGACGGGACGGGCAGTCGAAGCCGTCCATAAAGTGACGTAACGACGGCATCCTTGCCGCGGTCCGCCGCACACCAGCTTCGTATCAACAAGGCCACTCCTGTCGACGAGGTCATCGTACTTCGAACCACCCCGGAAAAATGTTAAGATCGAAGGGGGGAAAGTGGGGCGCCTTTTTGGCGCTTTACTGTATATCGTCAGACGATGTCGGCTGCACAATACCAAATAAGGTAGTTCGACCCGAAAATAGTTAGACGACACATGGGCCAATATTCTAAAACTACTCTACAGTGCAGGAAGCTGTTTTCAGCCTGCTGCTGTTGGAGGGCGAGCGTTCGTGTCGAATGGGTTGCCTACTCGTCGGCGTCAGGACCGACAACAGAGAGGCTTGTCTTACACGCCGGCGCTCATCGAGCAAGCAGAACAGCGACAGATGAAAGAAGTCAGTATTGCTGAGGAAGGCAAAACTTAAATGGTCGCTTAATTGAGATCGGAAATCTTATTTCAGTAAGCAATATTTAATTTAATTAATATTTTTAATACAGTACTATTCAGACAAGACACAACTAATGCCTGATTTCTACACATATTTATTAATTTGCTTTGAAAAGCTTGAGGTTATTCAATTTATTTGTGAAGTAGAGAGTTGTCTTATTTTATGAGGAAGAAGTTCCACCATTTCTTTGCAGACTGGTAATTCCAAAGGTACATGTTTTTCAGCATCTGGGTACTCTGAGCAGTATTCAACAATAAACTGAAAACATGATAAAATAAATTAAGATCAAAATATAGCAAATTCAGGGGATCTGGGTCCATCTCTTAATGGCTTTACCTTGAAGCTGGCCAGACTTTTTCTGTTGTTATCAATTTTTTGATCTGTATCACATGTAATGAGTCTAGAAAACAATCTACCACGGAAAAAGTGGCTGCTAAGGACAGGGCGGATACACTCTGGTTCCAACTTAATTTCTTTGATGCTTGACCTGAAAACATAACACGTTTGTGTTTGGAAATTTCAATAACTAGAGATAAAAAATATATAAATTATTACTTTTCTAAAATATTCTGAACCACTCACCCATCTTTATAAATTGAGCTCAGAAAGTGTCCAAAGTTATCAATACTCTTCTGTGTCAGTGTGTTGAGTTTATTAAGAATACGAGGATCGGGCATCATCCCATCAGTATTTCCCTCTCTAATTTTCCCCAATTTTATATGAAGCATTTCAAAATAAGTTTCACCCAACTCATACCAAATTTGTCGGCATAGCTGCAGGTAGCACTGGTGGTTAAGAGATGCTATCACATTTTCTAGCATGTCAACTCTCCGCTTGTGCATCTGGCACTGTCTGTCAAAATATGATTTAAAATATATTAGTCTAAACTTTTAGGAATTACATTGTATTGTTTCTTCCTGTCTTTAGTTTTTCATTTATTTACCTTTTTTCATCAGACTCAAAAAAGGCCAGCACCTGAAAGAGGGCACTGCAGTCTTGAGTGATTCTCACAAAGTCAGATGCATGCTCATCCAGTGTGTAATATGTTTTAGCATCCTCAAGCCAACGCTTTGTACACTGGAATACAGGCAGTGCATCTTCATAGTCAAGAACAAATTTATCAGTAATCTGATTTTCGTAAGTAGGTATTTCCAGGGTTGAAAAAAGAAGTCCACTTATGTCATCTGATAAAGTAAAAGAAAATCAACAAAAGTCAGTAAAAAGTTCAACAAGAGGTAGCAACAACAAATCCTTGGCAACCTTTGGATGTTGTTGTATCGTCTTGAGCTAAGTGTTTAGACAAATCAGTAGTAGGGCTTTCTTGTTCATCAGGTTCATCTGTCTTTGACATGAGTCTTTCTTTAGATGACTCTAACAGTAACAAACCATACTTAGACCAGCACCTTGCAACATCCGCACTTCTATGCTGATATCTCTCTTTCCTAAAAATAAATTAGATTAATTACAAACCAACCAAAAAAACGCACACCGTTCACTTTTAATTTTTTAACTTACTTTGCCTCATCTTCTTCAGATGAACCTTGTATGTTTTTCAAATGCTCCTCAAAATACTTTTCCAATATATATGATGCTGCAGCTAGATGATGCCTAGCTTGTTTGAAGCCGGTACGTTCCATGAAGAACTGAGAAAGAGTTGCAGCATTGAGTGCCCATTCAATGGGATCGTAGTCTTTACTTTCTAGTTGTCGCTTCAATGTATTATGGCAATACACAGAAGATTTAAGATGGTCTTCCAGAGTACCATAGATCTGAAATGTAAACAACATAAAGTAAGAATATATTAATTCTATTTAAAAAAATAAATAATAGATTTTCTTTAAAGGAAATAGAACAAACCTGAGCTAGGTAATACAATGTTAGTGTATGACTTTTCTCTAGATCACTCTCTGCCTTTGAGCGTGGAGACTTTAAGTCAGAAGTGTCAGCTTTGAATAAATCGTCAATTCCAAATGCCTCTATAGGATCTTTTAGCTCTGAAATTTTTTTGTACAGATCTTCAGCTTCTTCCAAATATTCTTTTGATTTCTGTGGCTGTTCAAGCATTGAATACAGTACTCCCAAATGGTTTAGTGCGTTTATTCTTGGTATAACAAATCGTGGGTGCATGGACTTGTCTTTCGTGATTTCTAATGATTTTTTAAGCTCTTCAGAACTTTCAGATAGAGCATCTGTCTCATAAGAAATTATACCGAGACTTAACCAAATGGCAGCAAGCATTGATGAAAGACGTTCACAAAACTCATCTTCACAACACCCATCTATGAGTTGAATGACTTCTGTCTTCAAAATCGAAAGTAAGGCACCAGCTGCGTACTTCGATTTATAGGGCTCCGTCTCGGGGTCTTTTAGAGATAGCAGGGTTTCTACCATAGAATATTTTTCTTGGATGTCCAACAAACAGTTCACTGGGATGTTAGTCATGGTTACAAATAATTCTAGTTCTAGTTCTGTGCAGATATATTAAGGACTTAATAGTCTTGAAAAAATTGTCCAGATAAAATTATGATAAAATTGTAAAAGCCAATCAAAAACAAAAATGAAATAACAGTAATTTTTCTAAGAAAGCTCTCATTCAAGAACCTAGAACCTCTTCTGCAAGCGCAAGCAAAATAGCAGAAGGAAACAGAAAACAAATGAAAGTTCGTTGATCGAGCTGTCAGTCCAAATCTCCCCCGAGTAGTAGAACTTCTTGCAAGATGAAAACTTTATCGGCCATGATCCGAACGAACGAATTGCAAAGTGTCTGTTTTTTGAGTGTCGTCTGGTTGTCGACCAGACTTGTGTACATTTTGTAACAATAGTTTATTTGCGATTATTCGTCAAATTATCGTGTTTAGGAGTCGTGTCGCCACTAATTTCATTTGAACACATGTTTTAAAAATGCAGAAGTTTCCATCAACATGGTCTACTAAACTAAATAGCGCTAATTTTAAGATTACTAGAGGTTTTGCATTTGCGGCCGGTGCAGGTGCCTCCGTGTTGTGCGGTTCTTTTATTGTTGCTGCTAATACTGTCGCTTTGAGTTGGTCTCGTAGTTACTGTCAAGCTAAGAGGTAAGTCCTCAATATTATTTTGGTGTAGTCTGATCAATAACATAATTCAACAATGTTTTGTTTTTTTAAAATTATAATGTAGGAATGATGTTCCACTTGTCCCTACCCCTGAACTGAGGGATTTGGCAGAGAATGTCATGGAGGACTTTCAGTTGTCAAAATCAGAAGCAGCTTCAGTCAATCTATTTTGCTCATCGCTGGGAACTTTAGATGTATTTGGGTCGATCACTTCACGCTTTGGTGCTCTCATAGGTTTACCTTCATTTCTTCTTTCAAAATCAACGGAGGAAGTTGTCTTTAATTATCGTCTGGTAACTCACAATTTTTTAATCTATTGAGACATTTTTGAACTGTTCTGCATCTTAAACTATCATTTAATGTTTTAACAGGATCCGTCTCTTACGAAGGAAGAAATGGAAATTCAAGAGGCCACATATAGGGAGAACTCTCTGATGAGCGACAGTGCAAAACGCTACATTATTGCAGAGGGACTAGGTTCAGTGCAAAACAGCTACCATTTTATTATACCAGCTGCTTTTGCATCCCTTGGAACTGCTCTAACATTAGGTGGCACATCATTTATGATTCGTAGATTAAATCTTCACATGTACTCTTTTCTCCACAGAAATTTTTTGTATACTATTACATGTTCTGCATTCTGTGTTATTGCTCTTTCTGCTTTAAACAAGTTTAATGAATATAATTTGAGAAATACTGTCAGAAGGCTTGACAAGGAATATATTGATGGAGGTATTGAGTATTACGAGAAGTTACTTGCTCGTGCTGCTGTTGTAGACAATTATTGTTACATATCTCTCTCTGATAACATAGATGTTTGGATGCTGATAGGTAATTTCACACGCAAACTGGAGGTACTCACTAAGAGGAAAGAAGAGTTTTCCGAAGATTAGAGGGGGATTAAAAATACTTCCAGTAAAGCTCTTTAACGGTCCATGTAGTGTTGTGGACACGTGATTTCTTTATTCATTCACCACCACTGTATGTATTGGAAAATTTATGTATAAATAAGTTGTAAAGCATATTAAGTATTTTAATAAAATGTATTTATAACTTTAGATCATAATTTACACAAAAACATAACAAAGAAAGCTTAAACTTTAGACAAATACATTATATGAGCATACCAAGTATGGCAGTAGTTCTTACATGCTATTATTGCATGTAAGGCCAGACACTGGTATACCAAGGCACATTAACTTGAGTAACAGTTTATTAGGAAATCAAAAACCATTGTCAAGGAAAGAGTGAGAAGATCCCAGAAGAAACTGCAGACACTCAAATGAGGTGAACAAAATCTAATCTAACTTACTTTGGCTTCCCAATGGAAGAGATAAGGTCAGTTTAAGAGACAATGAAACATTACAGGTAATAACTGTACATTTTCAACTAACTCAATCAATGATAAGTACAAATTCTACTAAGCCGCTTTGGAATATAGCTGATGTGTGCTTTGAATAATATTACAGATCCAACAGAGCCTGAGGAGCACAGTTCCTCCAAGCTCTTGCAACTTTCAATACTTCTACTATAGACAAAAATTTAAGCCATACCACTCAGGTATGTAAATTTAAAAAGAAAAATCATGAAAAATGCAAGAATTAATTGCACATCTAAATTGCTGATTTTATCAGTCATATTATACATATCACACTAATGCACTCACCTAGCAGGAAAATAAAACAGTGAATGAACATTCATGAAAAACCACGAAATTTTTGTTTGATTGACTACGTACCGAATTGGCGGAACATGACAAGAAGTTATTTACGTTTTGCCTACAAGATGCTTCAAAGGAATCCAACAGCTGAAAACCCTCAAAGTTACTAGAATGAATGATTGATTGAAACATCATCTGAAATGATTGTTAAGCTGATCCTTATCCACACACAAGAAGAGACCACCAGCATTGAACATGCATTTCGCTCAGATAAGAGAGCCTTCATCTAAGCTCTAATTGAAATTGTGCCATTTAAACAAATCAGGATAATATATTCCCAAGTCAAAAGATACAACCCTACAAAACCCAAGCTAAAAGAGAAAAGCATATATAGATAAATTGCAGTTACACCTAAGAAGGAACATAAGCTTATTGCTTTACAATTCGCTCTTGCACAATTTTATCTAAAACATCATTTAATTTTTGAAATTATAAACAAAACTAAGATGACAGATCATGGAGAGTCATGAAAGGTATGAAGTATTTATAATATGATTTAACTAGATACTCACAAAATAAGAAAGAAATTAAAGAGCGACAGCAAAAGCGTGTTATAAGAAACACACTGAAATGCTTCAGCTGCTAGTGACTTAACAGAGAGGTACACTCATCCATTACATAATGAAGAAAATACTAGAAATATCTGAGATCAGATTGAGATACCAAATAACATAACATTTTACAACTGTACAGTGAGTCTCAAGAGAACCGCTTTACAGCAAACTATCTTTCCATATTGGCAAAAAGAAAATCTACAATCAATGGCAATAGTTTTCTATGAAGTTAACAGGTTTTACATTTGCATCCAAAATATTCTCCAGAGAAAGGAAAAATATTTTAGAAGGTGCATATGCAGAAACTGGTATTGCCTGCTCTTTTTAAAAGCAAATGGCAAAACACAGAAGTTCTAACAATTGAAATAAATAACATATTGCATTTCCTTAGAGTAAGGCAGGTACCTCATTAGCTCATATTAAAACAAATAAACAAGTTAAAAAAATGAGAAGAAGAAGATGCAGTTTTGCACCTTCAGTAGAAGACTTTTCCTGTTCATGTTGAACCAAATATCCAATATTTTTTTCTAAACTATCTTTGGTAAAAATTCATTATTACTCCAAGCAATCATCATTTGTCTATATGTCATTTCATTTTCACTATGAAATCATTAGTCCAAATTTTATTAGAATATAGACTAACAATTCAGATCACCCGCAGAGTACTGACTAGGTATAAATGCAGGCTCATACTTTGGTGTTTGAGGGAGTTAAGCATACTCTCTCCATGCTAAGAACAAAACAATAATAAAATTTAGACTTGAAGTTCTGAAAATATTTTTGTTTTCAGAAGCAGTTGACTTAAAAGAATCACAACTAATGTGTGAATCAGCCTTTGGCTTTGTCAAGTCTGAAGAACAAGATATTTTGCCAGCATTTGAGAATCAATGGACATAGGTCCAACAAAAATATATGGCATCAGAATGTACATAAAAAAGAAGTAAATTTTTACAATTAAAAATTAAAATAACATAAATGACTTAAACCTCTGACACATTTGGAGTCAAATATAATAGATAACTTTGGCTTGAAACTGAGACTTCTGCTAGACAGTCAACAAACTTTAACAGCACCTTTTCATAATGCACTACAACTTAAGTACGCCCATTACTGCTTCTATTTCCATGCTTAGAAACGCCAAGCAGCTTTTCTGCATCATCAGCTGACTTACTTATAAGCATCTGATCAATGACAGCTTCATTAATGCCCAAGAGATTGCTAATTAGAATGTTATTGTTATTATGGTTGATTAGTTGTACATGATGCATATGGAAATTAGCAGGGAAGGGCCCGTGTAATCCCTCTTCATCTCCACTTGTTGCTGACGGTGAGAGATCTTCAGGTCCTGTAGAATTTGCTACAGGGGCATTTATGCTGTTATTGGAGCTATCAGTATGCTTCTTACGGTGACGTAACATGCTGTGCTTCAAAGTGAAACGCCTGCGACACACATCACAGGAAAATGGACGCTCCCCAGTGTGTGTACGCATATGCCTGCGAAGGTCCTCAGCAGACCAGAAACGGCGCATACAGAATGCACACATTACCTGCAAAGAACAAAAATTAATTAAAACCTAATTACAAACATGAAACATTTTCTTTCCAGAGATTTATAGTACCCACCTTTCGGTTAGCATAGTCAGGGAATTTCCCACGAATATGCTCAATGTTTTCTCCATCAGCATGGTGGTTTTCGTCCATTGCATTGTTGTTCTCCTCAGGTGAAGTAGAAACATTCAGTTCCAATTGTCCCTTGGACAGCAAAAGGTCATATTCAGAAGAATGGTTCAGTCTGATGTGGTCTAAGCACTCCTGGCGTTCTGTGAAGCTCCCATCACAGAGATGGCACTTGAAGGGAAGTTCCGATGAGGAGAGAGTCACTGAAGACTCTGAGGTCCTGGTCGTTCCCTCCGGTATGCTAACCACCGGAGCGGTGATGGGGACAGTCAGGTTGGCAGCCGACATCATGGTATTGTGAGCCTCCCTCATGATGTCCGCTCCACTGACGACAGCCCTCTCTTGGCCCGGCTCGGAGCTCCTGCGTAAGTTGAGCGCTGGCTCTTCCTTAACGTCCACATAGTTTCTTTCCACCTTACACAAGCTCAGAGGCTGTTCAAGACTTGAGCTGAACAAGGGGACCTTCATCTCCATCTTCTTGTCCTCCACCTTCTCGTCGCCGTGCTCGGGGTGCTCCACGTCGCTCACGCTGCCGTGGCTCTCGTAACCGCTCAGGTTGGCCCTGCCAAGATCGTCGCTGGGCAGAATGCAGCTCTCGAGGGAAGCCCCCGAGTGCTTGGTGAACACGTGCTTCCTCAGGTTGCTCAGGGAGGCGAAGGTGGAGCTGGGGCAGTGCCGGCACCGGTAGGGGCGGATGGTGTAGCCGTGGCCAGGGGTGCCTGGACCCGCGGGCGGGGGGCTGAGGGCGGCTGCCCGGACGCTGAGGACCTCCGGCGGCGACCCGCTGCCGGCCGAGGAGCCCGGGGACACGCTGGCCGTGCTGCTGTTGGGTGTGCCGCTGTTCGTACTAACGCCGCTGCTGCTGCTGCTGTTGGCGTCCTTTTTGTTACTGTGCTTCCTGTAGAGACAAACGCAGGTCGTTAGAGACGGGGGTGAAAAGGGCGCGAAAAGGAGACGGGGCTTGCCCGACGGAACTTACCTAGCCAAGTGCCGGTCGCAGTTGCTCTTGGTGGTGAAGAGCAGCGGGCAGAAGGTGCACTTGTAGGGCTTCTGCCCAGTGTGGGTGAGGACGTGCCGGCGCAGCGAGGACGTCCAGGGGAACTTGCGCGAGCAGTACGGGCAGCACACACGGTTGGGCGCCAGCGAGTAGGCGCTCTTCTTCTTCTGGGGGACGGCGGCGCTTTCACACTCGGACTTGTCCTGCGGGCGAGAGGCGGCGTTGACGTTAGCAGTGCTCGGCATCGCGGACACGTGGTCCGGCGTGATCGAGGCGGAGGAGGCGGCGCTTACCTGTTCGCTGCCCGAGTTGTTGCCCTCGCTGGGGGAGCCGGCGACCAGGCCCTCCTCGTCCATGTCCTCCTCGCTGGCCAAGCCCATGCCCAGGCCCTCCTCGTGGTGCGCGCCGAGAGCGGGTACCGCGGGGGAGTGGGCGGGGCCGGTGGGCGTGGCCGGGTGGGGGAGCGGGAGGCGGAGGGTGGCCGTCTGCTCGTCGCCGTCTCGGAGGAAGTGCCTGAACGTCTGCATGGAGGCATTGTCCAGCAGCCTGGACACGCTGGCGAGGTCCTCGCCGGGGGCCGCAGACGACTGAACTTTGACCTGGTGACCCTCGTCTTCAGCGTCGCCCTCGACGCCGTCGTCGTCCACGTGGTGCTCCTCGCTGGAGGGGCGTTCCTCGTCGATGACAAGACCCTCGTCCTCATCGTCCTCCTCGATCTTCCTGGGCGTGGTGGCGCTGATTAAAGTCGCGCGCAGCGGCGTTGACGCGTCGACGGGGGCGGGCGCCGGGGTGGAGGGCGGCGTTCCCGCCTTGAGCGACGCGGGGGTGGAGGGGCCGCGGTGCTTGTCCTTCCAGAACTGTGGGTGTTGGTGCTTGACGTGACGCTCTCGGTTCGACGAGAGGGTGAAGCGGGCGTCGCAATGGTCGCACAAGAAGGGGCGCTCGGTGCGGTAGCGCCTCTGCTTCTGCTTGGGCATGAGCACACCGTTCTTCATCACCATCTTGCTGCTGCTGCTGCCGTTGCTGCTGCTGCCACTGCTCAGGATGGACGGCTGCTGTTGCTGCTGGTGGTGCGAGTCGGACGCGGAGCTCCTCTCCGACTTGGGACTGGCGGCGGGGCAAGCGACGCCCGAGTCATCCTTGTGGTCGGGGATGAGGCCAGAGGAGGCGACGGGGGACTCGGTGGCGGTGAGGAAGGGCGGCCGTTGAAGGAGGCGCATGGGCTCCAGCACGAGCCCGCTCGGGCCCAGGGGACCCAGCTGAGGAAGCTGGCCAAGCTGCAGGCTGCGGAGGAGGCCGGGGTAGTAGGCGGCGGGGAAGGGAAGCCCTGGAGCGAGGCCCGGAGGAAGGCCCGGGACCTGCGCGGGGGGCGTGAGCTGGTACGGGCTCACGTACAGGGGGTTGAGGCCGGGGAACGGCAGTGCAGCTGCAGGGGCGGCAGGCTCCGGCGACTGTAGAGGGGTGGACTGGTTGTTGAGGTGGAGCGGGAGCGTGGTGGGCGCCGCCGCTGAGCAGGACTCGGACGACGACTTGCGGGACAGATCCTGGGGCTGGTCCTCGTCCTCCATCTCCTCATCTTCATCGGGCACGATCTCATCGTTCTCCTGACCGTCATCCATGGGGCTGGGCGGTCGCTTCTTGCTGAGATCGAGCACCATGCTGAGGTCGAGCGGAGACTGGCGTCCAGACTCCGGCATGTCTTGTTCGTCCACGTCAACGGGCTCCTCACGCTCGTCCTCTGAGGTAGACGTCATGGTGCCCACGTCCAGACTGCGACGCCGACGTGCGTCTTCGTCGAGGAGCATGGTCTGCTCGGAGGGCTCGGCGAACAGGGACCGCTTAACGTCCAGCTTGACGTGCTGCAGCTGCTGCTGGAGTTGCTGCTGCTGCTCCGGGTCGTTGCCCGGGTCCTCGGACGGGTGGTAGATGATGGAGCTCTTGACCTCGTCGCGCGAGCACTTGGCGTGCCGGTTGCGCAGGTGCCGCTCGCAGTTGGCCTTGGTGGTGAAGGCGAAGCGGCACAGCGCGCACTCGTAGGGGCGGGCACCGTTGTGCGTGCGCATGTGTCGCTGCAGCGCCACCTTGTCCAGCGCCGAGTGCGGGCACATGTTGCAGCGGTAGCCGTCCGCGCCCGGCGCCGCCATGTGAGCCCTGTTGTGGCCCTTGAGCGCGCGCAGGTTGGGGAACACCTGTGGGCAGAGGACATGGCGGGTGAGCGGCCGGTCGGGTCGCCGGGCGTTGAGGTCGCCGGGGGTGTCGTCCACGGTGTCCGGGGGGCTTACCTCGGGGCACAGGCGGCAGGGGAACTCGCCGCGCTGCTTCATGCGCCGGAACTCGGCCGCAAAGGCGTCCTGCTGCTCCTCGTGCTCTTCGCCGCGCTCGTCGACGTGATCGTGGCCCAGCCCGCTCGTCGCGCTCACGTTCAGGATGCTCTGGATGCTCTGGATGTCGGCCAGGTCCCGGTCCATGTAGGCCGGAGGCGGCGCGGACAGTGACGGGCTTGTAGAGGCGTTGTTGAGCAGGTCGAGCTTGGCGAAGAAGTCGCCCTTGGGCGATGCGGCCCTGGGCGGCACAAGGTCCGAGCCAGTCCCGGGGCGGCGCACGGGCACCACGCCGTTGCGAGACAAATCGGCGGGAGAGTCCACGTACACCGTGTTCGGGCAAGCCTGCGGGAGGACAAGTGTAGAGCGGTAAGAAGGGCGGACTTAAAACAGGAGAAGGATGTAGTAGCGACCAAAGCCGACGAGGGGTGGAGCCTTACCTGGCGGTGGATGGCGAGCGCCGAGTCACAGGGGAAGGCGAGGCCGCACTCGCACTGGAAGGGATGCAGGCGACTCGTGGCGCGGTGCAGGCTCTTCTCGCACTCAGCGCGCGCGATGTGAGCGAACTTCTGGCTCGTGAAGTCCACGAAGGTGAGGTCCTTGAAGCCGTACACGTCGCGCACGCGGCCCGCCTTGCCGCCGCTGCGGTGCACCGAGTGCACGTGCAGGTTGAGGGCGCGCACGCTGCGGAACGACTCGCTGCACAGCTCGCACGTGACGCTGTAGTCGCGGTGGCACTGCTCCAGGTGCGCCTCCAGCTCGGGCAGATACTGGACGCGGAAGGGCTGCGAGGGCGGGCACACCGGGCAGGTGAAGAGGTGCACCGTGGGGGCGGGCGCGAGCGGGGCGGGCTGCGGGGCGGGGGCCACCTCCTCGTCGCTCGCCGCGCTCGACGGGGACCTCCGCTTGGCCTCCACCTCGTAGTCACTGTCGTCCACGTGGTTGTCCGGGAGGCGACGCTTGGCCGCCTGGCTCCTGGAACCGAAGGAACAAGAGCGTGAGCACCTCGCCACTCATCGGAACACGCGTGTAACCAGGTGACCAGATGTTACAACTCACAGGCGCAGGAGGTCCACGTGGCCGTCCAGGTGGCCGCGGAGGTGCCGCGCCAGGCCGCCGTTGGTGCGCAGAGCCTGGCCGCACAGCGGGCACTTGAACACCTGCTCGCCGGGGTGGGACTGGACGTGTCTGCAACAGAGAGAGGGAGACGTGCGTGAGCAACGCTGCCGCCAAAGCGCCGCGGGGGTAGGCCACCCATTCGACGCCGGCACCACTCCCTTCCCCTCCCCTCCCCTTCGCGCGCAACAAGAGATCTAGTTGTAGAGGACCAAGTGTGGGATTATTCCCTGTCCAGGCGCACCTCGCGGGCGCAGCAAGGCCGGCGTGGTTTGCACCAATTAGGAGGAGGCGAACGGGCCGGACGCGGCGCGGACAAAAAACGAGACAGTTTCGCCCCGGGAAAACGCCGCGCAACGCCTCGCCTCGGGACGGGGAGCGGCGGCGTCATCGGTTTGGCTTTTCACGCAGCGGCGCGAAGTGGAGCCGAAGATCACGCTCAGCGCAGCGTCAACGGGGACCACTCAGCTGGAGATATATTCTTACGGGCGCGAGGGGCGGGGGAGTGGTGCCGCCCCCACGGTGCCGCCCCCGCCCGCCACCAGAGAACACTGCCGTCGTCTGGCGCGCACGCAACTATAATCCGACACCTCGCCGCCCCCGCGCGTTGACAGGTGCAGCCGGCCTCGGCGGCCTCCCCGCTCCCCGCAATAACGCGCCAATTTCCTGGCCCTGATCGCCGTCCAGCCGTCCGAACGGACCGGTCCGCGCGCACCTGTCCTGCGAACGCGCCGTGTCCGAGGGGTGGCCGGTGCCAGAGGACGGGGCCGGCCGCCACGCGCCCGCCCGTCCGGTCTGGTCCGGTCCAGCACGGTCCGGCCCGGCCGGCCCCGCGACATCCCCGACATGGACATCGCGGCAGGGGTGCGCGCCCCGCCCGGCAACCCGGCTGGACGAGGCAGGGAGGAGCGAGGCGGCAACTTTTCAATTCCCATCGTGTAAACTTCCGCGTCATTCCTGTTCCGGTTTCCGCATTCCGAATTTCACACGAGTATAGGAGCCACCGTGTCGCCCATGCATAGAGGGTCGTCCTGTTAAGAGGGGTGAAGGCGAGGCACTCACCTATCGAGGAGGTCGGCGCTGTCGAAGGCGCGCCGGCAGACGCGGCAGGCGAAGCCCTGGACCTCGTCGCCGCCGCCGATGTGGTTGAGGCCGAGCTCCTGGATGTGCGCGGCGAGGGCGGCCTCGGAGGCGAGGACGGCGTCGCACACGGCACACACCAGCCTGGAGCCGAGCTCCTCGGTGATGGTGGACGTGGACTCGGGCTGCTCGTCCTTCATGACGGCGGACGCGGGGGCGGGGCTGTCGACGGCGCTGTCGCCGTGCGGCTGCTGCTGCCCCGGCTGCTCCGTCTCCGGGGGCGGGGGTGGGGGCGACGTGGCAGTCGTCATGCTTGTGGGTTCTTCTTGACTAGGTGAAGCTGGTTCGGTCTTCTGGACCGCGTTCTCTGGCTGCTGCTCTTCCTCGGGTTGCTCAGGTTCCTGGTCCTGCTCGGGCTCTTGCTGCTTGTCCTCGAGGCCAGCGACCACAGCGAGGATTCCAGAACGTTGGGTGGGCTCGTCAGTGTCGATCTCGGACGGGGAAGAACACTGCAGGCCAACGGAGGCAGAAGGGGTTAGTTAAAAATGTCAATTCTGACCAAGTTGAGGGGGAGGGAGAGATAGCGGTGCAAAAAGTAATAGCCAGGCAAAAATAAAAAAAAATGAAAGAGAACAGATCCCCTGCTGTAAAGAACACAATACAGAGCGCGATAGGGTTAAAAGCCACCATGCTTTGCCATCATCATCGTCACCACCGGGCATCACCACCATCCTCGCATCCGTCATCACCACAAGTACCGACCGGTGTTCGAAAGAAGCAGGAGTACTGACCCCAGCCGGGCGCGAGGGCCCGCCAAGGACAAAGCGCACATCTTAAGTCCCGAAAAAAAAAAATCGCAGCATCCGGCATACACTCCGCCTCACTCACTCACTCACACGCGTGCGGGCCACAAAAAAAGTTGACTCGATCCAAAGAGCAGCCCAGCGTGAAAATACCAGGAACTCACTCACCGGCGCGCTACGACCCGACCGACGACGGCGACATCGCGCGCCCCAATGACAATGTCGCAAGGACCTCTCGGCCGGATGGTCCTGAGGAGGCGCCCCCCCCCCCTCCTCCTCCCCCTCCTCTCAAGATAAAACCGAAGAGCAGCGGAAAAGGACAGATAAAGTTTTCACATCCCGTGGCGCGGGTCCGGCCGGGAAGCCGACACACACACACACACACACACACAACTGCGCGCGCACTCACACTTGCACACACTCACACACACTCTCACACCAACTACGCGAGGGAGATGAGCCTACCGGCAGGCCTCGCCACCGTGTCGAGAGCCCGTCATGCCAACTGTGCACACATGCGCACATCACACTTCAGCTGCTGGTAATACTACGTTCAGCGTGCAGCTTTCAGCCGACGTGCGCGTCGGGGGAGTTTCTCGGCGGCACAAAGTCGTGGCCTGCTCCTGCTGCTGAGGCGGCAGGAGGCGCGAGTCCGCCGGCGGACGTGATCGGAGCGCGCAACAATGTGGACGAGATGCGACCCGCAACAATCGACACGGAGGAGGCTGGCGGGCCGGCGGCTGCACCCCGCGCGCCCCCGGGCACCGCCCGCTACCGGCTACCTTACCGTCCGCCGAGGGGCCGAAGTCACACGAAGCAGAGTATCCGCACTGAGCCACTGTCCACTGCACACATCACTCACTGGAGTTGCCTCCTTGGTATCACTCGCGGTTCAACACATCACTTAAGTCCTTGGAGCCGGTGGTCGTGATGACACATGCCGGTGGTGGTGGTGATGACGATGATGACGGTCACTTTTTCATTTTCACACGTTGACTAGATCACTTGGGTACTCCAGTCACAGCATCACTACCCGTCGACGGGAACCCATCACTTAAGCACTCGACACACACACCCCGGTTAAAGAAGGAAACCATCCCAAAATAAAGTGAAGAAAAATAAAAAGGAACACACCACACAAAACGGCGAAATGAAGGTCCGTCGGTGCACTACACACTACGCAAGGCGTTGGCGGGGGAAGGCAGCACATCGCATCACTGGTCGCAAGTGATGCCTACCTGTTTCAACATCTTGAAGCGCGCGCCGCTCGCGCGAGAGACCGCCGTGCTACGTTTGCTGGAAGCGGGCCCGGCATCGGACGCGTGCTCGCCTCTCCGAAGCCTGACCCGAAATGCATCTGTCGTCTTGTGCTTCTCCTGCCGCTGCTGCTGCTCCTCCTCCTCCTCCTCCCCGTCCGCAGCGGCCGCTTGCTGCTGCGGTGGCTGCTGGGCCCGGCGGTGCCGTAGCCTGGGCGGCGGCGCAGGCTGGCCGCGGGGCTGGCGTCTCCCCTCCCCTCCGGTGGTGCTGGCGGGCGCACTCGCGCCGCCCCCCACCCGGCCCCCCACCACCGGCGACCTG